CCACACTTGTTTTTTTCTTGGTTGTTCTTCTGCCCCAACCAAAGACACATCAGAGCTTTGTTCCAGAAACCAGGATCCTGGAATGGCTGCCCGTGGTGGGAACAGGACGGCTTGCTCTGCTTGTCCCTTCAGCCCTCCTTTGGCCCACCCCACCTTCTGCCCAGCGGGCCTGTCAGGTGGCAGCTGTGAGGAGAGCAGGGCCTGCCAAGCACCCAGGGAAGGGCTTTGGCCAAAGGCCCCACATCTAACCCTGAGCTCTGAACTCACAGCCCTCCTGCTGCATCCTTCTCTGTTCTCATTAACCTCCCTCCCTGCTAGGCTCAGTCTGAGCCAGCTCCCACCAGACACCCCTGCTGAGTGAGGTGAATGGCCAAGTCACGATTTCTCTTGTTATTCTTCCCAAGCCTAAGTTCACAAAACTTTGTCATCACAGATTGCACCCCCCGCCTACATGTGGGCAGCCACACAGAGTCTCCAAGGTGCTTGGCAGTTTCCTTGGTAACTGATGCCCACTCTGCACCTTGCCCACCATGGGAGCAAACAGCCTCGGGCCCCAGGCTCTTAGGCCACATCCTCAATGACCTTGGGGGGTGTGGGACCTACGAGTCCCAGGAGATAGCACTTCTACCCTCCTTCCTTCCCTGACCCTGGGTGAATCTTTCCTGTACCAGCTCAGGGCCTTGCACTGCAGGGTGACCTTCCTGCTAGAGGTTTCCCAAGACGACTGTCCTCACAGGATCTGCATGGCAGAGTTTTAGAAGAGAAAAGGATTTGGAATTTCTTATAGGAGCAAACAGACTGGCCAAGTGGCATCTGTTTGAACTTGGTGAACTTGGTGTGGTATCGTGTTGAAGTTTGCAAGTGCTCCCCCTTTTATTCCCACTCTTTCCTTCTCTAATTTCCGATATAAATCCTGAAGCCCCCCTCCCTTTCTCTTTGTAATTTTCCCCCATGTTTAAAAAAGCTTCCCAGGCGCTTCGCTTTTCCGTGCTATTTCCTTCCTGCTCCAGCCCCTCAGAGACCTCTGTGCTTCTTGCCACTGATGCCTTTTCCCTGGTGGCAAGGCCTACCCTGCTGAATGCCCCAGAATGGAATTGCAGTGGGCACAAAGGACAGAATGCTGGAGACACTCCCCTTCCCTGCATCATCTTTCTCTGGTCCATCCCGTATCGGCAGAAATGGAAATGCAGCATGAGGAGCCGTGCCTGGTGCACCTCTGTCACCCCTGTCTCCCCTGTCATTAGCTCTGGGGGCTGTCAGGCTGCTCAATAGGAGCATGCAGGAAGTTTTGAAAAGGATTCAGTTTCTGGGTTCTCCTCCAGGCATAGAGAGTCACTGTCTCCACTGGGGATGCAGGCTGAGGACTCTGTGATCCTGAGGCTGTCAGCTTGCTGAGGGGGTCCCGCACACCCCAACAGTGCAGAGACCAGTGAGCACTTTGTTAGGGATGAATGTAAAAAGAGAGAGCTGGAGGTGGGGCTGAGTGTGGTGGCAATGGTCAGGGAGGCAGGCACAGATGGCAAGGGGCTGAGGACTGTGGACAGAGCGGCCAAGGTTTTGGTGTGTGAGGTCGTAGCCAAGGGGGAAGGAAACGATGGAAGGACAGAGGGTTATGGAAAGCAAGAGCCTGTTTGGGGCCACTGGGATGGGGCTGGGTATCAGGCACCCTTGCTGTTAGGAACACAGACATGTGAGGGACACCTGCTCCGGCCACTCTGTGTCCACAGCTTGGTGCTCCCTCGTGGTGCTTGCATCCGCTGCAGGCTGGAGTTCGGGAAGAGGGTCTGCAGCCCCAGGCCCTCACCTCCTGAAGATTCTGCATGGCCGCTTCATCATTGCCTTGATGTTCTTTCTCTCGGGGATGTTTTTCTAGCTGTTGACTCTAAATCACAACATGCACAGGCTGGGCCGGCCAGCTGAGATAATACTGGTAACAACCATATCCTATGTTTCGCTGGAGTTATTTTCCCCCCCACAGAGTACAAAGCCCTTTACAGATGCTTTTCCATTCATCCTCTTGACTGTTTGTGAGCTGAAGATTCCTCTCCTTGTTTTTCAGACAGAGGGTTCTGAGATGTGAGGGACAGAGCTACATGCTCATGTTGACTTAAAAATTAAGGACCCATATTCCTAGAGACCCTGTGTCTGGAGTCCTTCCACACTGGTCACAGCCCCATGAGAGCCAAGGATAAGAGACGGCAGGGCAGAACCCATGATCCAAACCTGGACAGCAGACCTGGCTCTGCTCTAGAGCACTGTCCCACCCTCCCACGTTCCTCCACCGCAGGCCCCTTCGTCTTTCCTTTGAATGTCTAAAGCTGTTCCTGGCAGTGCCCAGGAAATGTCATCTAGGAGCCAGGGAGTAGAGGCCGTGGAATTTAGCAGGGCTAGTAGGAACCACTCTGGCTGGGTATAGACTTCTGTTCAGCTCAGCCAGTGCCTGGCTCGGCCACATGCCTGAATCCTCCCATGGAGGCCCAGCAGGCCATGTTTCCTGGGGCCCAGCTTCACCTTTTTGCTTTGTAGGTGTGGATGGATGCGGGCACCCAGATCTTCTTCTCCTTCGCCATCTGTCTAGGGTGCCTGACGGCCCTGGGCAGCTACAACAAGTACCACAACAACTGCTACAGGTGATTGGGGGAATGGGGCCGGCCACATACCTGCGTCTCTCTCCTGTCCTCCAGCAGCACTAAACTGGGGGTAAGTCGGAGGGTGTGCCAGCTCCTGGACAGGCCTCTGTTTCCAGCGCCCCGGGGCTTCCGGGAGCTGATGGGATCCAAGTGCAAAATGGGCAGAGGGAGTGAGTCCAAAAGGGTGGGACTGGCTGGAAGACCTCAGCAGGGCTGACGTAGAGGCTAGTGTGTGCAGGAGCGCTAGGTGAGTGAGCCTGCAAAGTGCAGCAGGTCCTCAAACAATGTTTGTTACGACGTTGATGAGGAAAATAATTGGTTTCAATACATGTCGTTTCACCTCAAGTCAAATTTTCCAAGAACCTGTCGATGTTAAGTGCAGTCTTACTGTAATTGGCAATGTTGGTCTTGCCTGGTTGGTGACCCCCCCCCAGCAGAGTGACCTCTTCATGTTTTTACCTCATGTCCTCAGCTCCCTCCTACATACCCCTCCTCACTTCATGTCCCCCTGTGGCTCTGTTCTGCTCAGACACAGAGAATTTAAGGGATGTTAATAATAGCTGAAATATAACTGAAAAAATCATATTGTGCACCTCAGAATCAAATTTGGGCAATCATTGGGATTTGAGATTACCTATGTCCCCATGCCCTGCATATTTGAATGCCAGATAGAATTACGACAGAGGGACAGTGTCCTGTGACATGGTAGCAATATGGGAGGTCAAGCTGTATTGCAGTTTGTAATGTTTAGATTCATTTTTCTTTT